AAACTGCTTTCTGACTAAGTAACATCTGCGCTGTAATCTTTCGTACGTACGTGATCATAATTCTGACAAGTCCCGTGATCACAGCATTGGCATAAGCACTTCATTAACTGTCAATAGCTTTCACTAAGGGTTTTCCTTTGTCAAAAACTTGTATTTTTACCGTTTCTTTTGGAACAGTGGTCACAGAGAGTGAAAATTTGTCGCTGTTATACGATGCCATATCTAAAGTGTCGTTTATTGATTTCATAAACAGGTCACTGAGACAAGCAGCATTGTTCAGTGGCAAACTTGCGCTTTAAAACAAGAGATAATTTGCACAAAAAATTTCTCCCGTCGTCGGCTGTCGGTATCCTATCACTGATGGTTTATTTAAGTGACGAAGTTTTTTTCTATTATATTGTGAAATAACCTGTCACAAATATAGTTTTGCTTCCCCCCTTATTGATAATTTAAATTCGCGCTGAAAAGCCGGCCTTTTTCTCCCCTTTGTTTGACAAACCTTGTAGATTTCGGGAATTTTACATAGTCAGATGCTAGTGATGAATTTTTTATTCTGTTATTGCTATTCAAAAACTAAGATTTAACTGATCTTGACCTGGGGGGTGCTGTTAAGACAAAATATTCCTGGTTGTTACCAGCTTAAGAATAACTTGCAAAAGAGTGGAAACAACAATGATGGAAACAACGAATATAACAGGAAGTGGTTCACAGACGAATTTTTTTTTTTTTAAAGGCTGGCAATGCTCCCCGGTTTGGATATAGGTGAGTTGAAACAACAGTCCATTTCATTTTCAGCAGTCAACATTCTCCTCTCCATTACTGGAATTCTAGGTAATTGTCTCATCCTTGTTGCTCTTCGCAAGGAATCTTCCCTCCATCCGCCATCCAAACTCTTATATAGTTGTCTAGCAACGACTGATCTGTTGGTTGGTCTTGTTAACCATCCTTTCTACACTACCTATGTTGTTGGGGTTGAGATACAAAGAGATTGTAACTTTAAGGCGCACATATATTATTTTAGCTATCGTTTGGGTTGTATGTCTAGTGGGTGGTTTATTATTTCATCTCAAGTACCGTGTTGGCCTTTCGTACAGCTTTATGGCTACACTATCTTGCCTAGCAATCTCAATCACCTCGTACGCAAAGATTTTTTCGCGCTCTCAGTCATCATCAGGCTCAAATACAAGATCATGCTCAACAACAACCAAGCCAACCAAATACACTGAACATAGCGCGATACAGAAAGGCACTGTACAGTGCACTGTGGGTACAATTAGCTTTAGTTGTCTGTTATGTACCACTTCTTACAGTGGAATTTGTGATCTCTTTTAGTAAAGAGCGATTTCCGAATTTCATCATAATCAGGGGAATGGCGATTTTCTTAGTGTTCTTTAACTCCACTCTGAACCTGTTCCTTTACTGCTGGAAGATAAGAGAAGTGAGACGAGCTGTAAAGCAGACAATAAAACAAGCAACCTGCTATACATAAAGGTAGACCTATTTAAACGTTGGCACTGATGTAAATTTTCTTCTACTGCTTAATTGAAAAATTATAGACATAAGGACAGAGAGGAAGATATGCAATATCGCGTTAAAAAGAGTAAGGAAAATATAAGGAGCTACCTCTACATAACGTATTGTATTCTATTTATCTAACGAACAACTAACCGGTGACAAAGTGAAGTTTAAGAAATCAGTAACAAGTCACCAATTTGTGCATTTGTAATGAAGTAGTGAAGGCTATCAGTTATTTTGGAATCAGAACGTGCTCAGAACTTTTTCTTTGCGATCAAAACTCGAAGAGCTCAGAAATATGGCTAAGTGTTAAGGAGCTGTTCACGGGGCCGACCACTCACTTTTGTCAGGATTGGGAATTAGCCACAGTATTTATAACTTTGTAAATTAGAGATGCAGCTTTCAAGTGTTAACACCTGTTCAAATACAGAAGGATGTGCCTAGAAAAGAAGTTGATCATCTCTATTTCACATAGAGTTATCATTTGAGACCAATCGTTTACCTAAGATTAAGCGCGCAAATTGTAACAGAAAAAACAAATTTAATAACAAATGATAAAAAATAACTCTAACATGGTTGATAAGACTAGCTGTTTTTCAGTACTTTACCAACGTCAATTAAACTGTTTATCGAGTTGCCTCATGAGTCCACAACATTTTGACCTCTGTGATTACGAATATCGCTTTTCCCAATACCGATCAACGTTTTCGAAAAAGGTTTTTTACCTTCAACTAAGATAATTCACGGCGTCTTAAGTTTGCGTTATATGAGAAAACAGGGTTTTTTGTTGTCTTAGTTAAAATAATTGAAATACAAATGTAAAGTTCCTTCCCGCTAATTGCCCCTTGAAATTCGAAGAAAAACCCGGCCCCATTTTTCTTGTTCGTGTGATACACCAGACAGCTTGTTTGGGCGTTTTGCTTGGTCAAACGCTACTGATAAATTCTTCTTGTAATTATTATTCATAAAGTGAGGTTTGACTGATCTTTACGTGGAGGTTCCTGTTATGACGGAATAATTCTTGTTCTTGCTATGGATAATCTGCAAAAGAGTGGAAACAGCAAAAGGACGTTTCCATTGCTTTTTGGATACTGATGGTGTTGCAGGTTCATGCTACATTTTAGGTTACACCGATTAGATATGTGGCACGGCCGTATAATTATGCTGCCCCTCCATGCTACCAATTGGATGTCCGTGGTTCAAAAACTCCAGAGCCTTTGCTGATACTCATATTACGCAACCGGCGAAACAGGCTATGTGTTATATTCAGCGTCTGTCGACGCAGACGGCCATAAGCGTGATCCTACTTCTCGTCATTCTGTTGGGCCTGAGATACAAAGAAATTGTAACTTTGAGGCTCACGTATATCAATTTAGCTATCGTTTGGGTTGTATGTCTAGTCGCTGGTTTATTCTTTCATCTCGATTACCGTATAACCTTTAGGTAAAGCTTTAGAGGTTTATCATCTTATAATTACCTAGTAATCTGAGCCGCCTCGTTCACAAAGATTTTCCGCGCTCTCGGTCATCATCAGGCTCAAGTACAAGATCATTTTTAACAACAAGCGAACGAAACAAATGCACCGAAAATGGAGTGATACAGAAAAGTAGTGTACAATGAACTGTAGGTGCAGGTAGCATTAGTTGTCTGTTATGCACCAAACTTAACAGCAGAAATTGTGATATCTTTGAGTTTAACCCGATTATCGAATTTCATCATAATCATCATTACCATTTGCTACAATGGCGAATGTTTCAGTTTTTTTAACTTCACTTTAAACCCGTTTCTTTACCACTGGAATATCAAAGATACAAGATAAGCACTAAAGCAGACAATCAGACAAGCAATTCGCCATGCATACGTTTCGACCTATTTCGCCGTTTAAATGTTCCGTTTCTTCCAAAGCTATTTATGGCCTTTAGGAGAGAGGAGAGGATATACAATTTGATAAAAAAAGATTAAAGAAAACTATAAAGAGCTACTTCTACTTTATATATGGTATTCAAGTTATCTTAAGAACAACAGAAAGCTAAAAAATCCTACTTTGGTAAATATATTACAAGAATATAGTGTTCCGCATTCGCACACTTATAGTGAAGCATTGAAGACTATGCTTTTCAAGCAGAATACGCTCATGATTTTGCTGTTTTCTCAAAACTGGACGAGATATGTCACTTTGGCTTAGAGATACGGTTAAGAGTTAATGAATAGTAACAGGACCCACAGGCTCAATTTATTGAAAACAGAACTTTTTAAATATGTAGACTTGTAGAGTTTATTTTGAGGACAATTCTCAGAAAATGAGTCACTGAATTCTGACAAGTCCTGAAATCACAGCATAAGCTGAGCACTTCGTCATCAATCAGTAGCTTTCAGTGAAGGTTTTCCTAAGTCACGCACTGATGTTTTCACAATTTCTTTAGAAACAATGGTCACAGGGAGTATAAATTTGTCCCTGTTATACGATACCATATCCAAAATGTCGTTTACTAAATTGATAAACAGGTAACTAGGACAAACAGCATCGTTCAGGAGCAAACTTCCACTTAGAACCAGAGACAATTTGCGCAAAAAAAAAAAAATTTGTAAGTGGAATATTTGAATTCCTTCTTTGTTACTATGGATAACCTGCAAAAGAGTGCATTATTAATGGCGTTTAAAAAAATAAACAGTTCACTGCTAAATCTATTTTCAAACTTTTTAGGACATAAAGACAGAGTTCATTGCAGTTTTGATCGGTAGAGAGATCGTCATTATCTCAAAGTTCCAGTAAGGTGCGATACGCAGTGAAAAAAGAAGGAAAATTCAAATATATTAGAGGTAACTATGCATCTGTAAACATACATTAATTTTAAATAGTTTTATGTAATCTAGCTTTATTCTTCCCAATACCGATATTTTTAGAATAACTTTGCATTTGCAACCTGTGTTAGATTTGAAATTGGAATTTTTTTATCACTTTCATTAGGCTGATAACAATTCATGGCGACCCAAGATCACGTGAATTAATGATTCAACCTACTATCCGGGTAAGTAGTTAACGAATCTGATGGAAACAACACGTCGGCCAATGCGTTGGTCAAAGCGTCGGCCGACAATCGGTCGACTGTCGGTCGACTGTCGGTCGACTGTCGGTCGACCGTCGGTCGACTGTCGGTATCCTATCACTGAATGCTTATCTAGGTGAAGAGGTTTTTCTGTTGTATTGTGAAATTAACCTATCACAAATGCAGTTTTACTTCCCCCTTATTATTAATTCAAATTCGCGCAGAAAAGGTGCCTTTTTTTTTCTCTTTCGTGTGACAACCTCACAGCTTTCGGGAATTTTACATAGTCAGGCGCTACTGATGAATTTTTACTCTCTGTGATTGCTATTCAAAAACTAAGGTTTGACTGATCTTGACTTGAAGGGAGCTGTTAGAACGAAATATCCCTTGTTTGTAGCTAAGGATAGCCTGTAAAAGAGTGGAAACGACAGCAGGATGATGGCGACAACAAATGTAACGGGAGGTGGAACACAGACGAACACATTTCAAAGATTGCTATGCTCCCCGTTGTGGGTAGGTGAGTCAAAACAACAGTCCCTTTCATTCCTAACAATCAACATTTTCCTCTCCATCACAGCAACTCTTGGGAATTGTATCATTCTTGTTGCCCTTCACAAGGAATCTTCCCTCCATCCGCCATCCAAACTCTTATATCGTTGTCTGGCAACAACTGATCTGTTGGTTGGTCTTGTTACCCAGCCTCTCTATGCTACCTACTGGATATCCGTGGTTCACGAACACTGGAGTCTTTGTCGATACGCAAGGGACGCATCGTACATATCAAGCTATGCGTTATGTGGAGTGTCTTTGTTAACGATGACGGCTATAAGCGTGGACCGACTTCTCGCCATGTTGTTGGGACTGAGATACAGAGAGATTGTAACTTTGAAGCGCACGCATATCATTTTAGCCATCGTTTGGGTTGTATGTGTAATCGCTGGTTTATTCACACATCTCAGTTACCGTATAAGCCTTTGGTGTAGCTTTATAATTACACCATCTTGCTTAGTAATTTCAATCGCCTCGTACGCAAAGATTTTCCGCGCTCTCAGTCATCATCAGGCTCAAATACAAAATCATGTTCAACAACAGCCGAGCCAACCAAATGCTCTGAACATGGCGCGATACAGAAAGGCAGTATACAGTGCACTATGGGTGCAGTTAGCTTTAGCTGTCTGTTATATTCCACAATTTACAGTGGAAATTAGGATCTCTCTAGGTAAAAATCGATTTTCGAATTTCAGTATAATCAATGGAGTGGCAAATGTCTTAGTGTTATTTAACTCTACTTTGAACCCGTTCCTTTACTGCTGGAATATAAGTGAAGTGAGACGAGCAGTAAAGCAGACAATCCGACAAGCAATCTGCTACGCATAGCGGTAGACCTATAGTTTAACACTGGCATGTACTGCTTTTCTATAACGTATTTGGAAATTGTGATATCTTTGAGTTAAAACCGATTATCGAATTTCATCATAATCAGGGGCATGGCGAATGTATTAGTTTTCTTTAACTCGACTTAAAACCCGTTTCTTTACTGTTAATTTTAAAAGCACCTTTATTACCAAACTCGAATATTCAAGAAGATTACGTGACTCTGTCACAGGCTGTGTACACACAGCTGGTCTTATGAAAACACATTTTCATATAATGACAATCAAGAGCGAAAAATGCTAACACGCGCTCTTGAGTATCTACCATTGCTCCCAATTAAAATGGTTTGTATGACAGCTCACCGCTGCAAGGATCATTTCCGCGCTTGAATTTCATCTGATGATCAAAGAATGATTTATGTCATTAAAGTTCTGAAAACATGAATAAGTGTAATTGAAGGAATAGGTCTTAAGTTTAAAAACTACTTCGTTCTAACCTCTTTTGTGTGGTTTCCTTTAACGCTTCCCTTTCGTCCTCAGGACTGTTGCGAATATCAAGGAATAAATAACAGGTTGTGCGCAAATTTTTTGATGAGTAAATAATATAAAAAAAAGTTAGGGTTGCCATAAATGTCACAAATGAAGGTATATCTCATAGATAAAACAAGAATCAAATAAATTTGGTCAGTGATGTTTAAAAGTTCAGAATTATTTATCAATCGAAATGATTTCCGACCGCGATTTCTGGATATCGTAGACTTATGTTCTAAAATACTTCAAAAGACTCTAAAAATATTTGTTTATTTATTGTCTTGCTGAGTCATGAGCTAAGCCAGGCAAACCAAGCTGAAACTGATCTTTTATTAGAATATAATAAAATGATGTAGAATGTCCCAGGCTGTTAAACATTTCTCTTTAAGTAGAGCTCATATTTAGTTGCTGTTGTTATCACCATCCTTTTCCAAGCATTCATTTAGTAAAACGGGGCGAAATGGTATACGGCACGATACCCACAATAGAGTAATAAAACGGGGGAGTGTTGGGTCGGATCGGGTCGGGTGAACGCCGTTCTTTACCCGACTCGACCCAAGCCCCACTCTTTTTTTGCTCCGCCGTGACTATCGCGCCGTTAACTGGGCACTTTGTTTTGCTAGCTGAACGCCTCAAACAGGCTGTGTTATCACTCAATAAGCTGGCAAAAAAAAAGCTGTGATGCAGAATACAAGAGACTAAAACCTAGAATGAGGAATCGAGAGACAAAATAAATGCAATCATCTGTCGTATACATAACAACTTTAATTTTTATTACGGTAATGTTTTGCAATCAAATAATTACTAACACAAAAAATTTAATTCATCTTACTGAATTTTTTATTAAGTAAACAATGTAATTTTTAAATTGGACTTCAATTCTAAGTTTTCTTAAGCTGTTAACAATGCATGGCGTCTCAAGATCACGTACATTAATTATCCGGATAAGGGAACAATTCCTATCCAAACAACACGTCAGCCGCTGAATTGATCAAGGCGTCGGCCGGCGGCAATTTGTCGACTATCGACCAACTATCGGTCGACTTTCGATATCCATCACTGAAGGTTTACTTGAGTAAAGAAGTTTTTTTTTTCTTATGTTTTGTAAGGAAATTAACCTATCATAAATGCAGTTTTACTTTCCCCTTATTACTAATTCAAATTCGCGCAGAAAAATCGGCTTTTTTTCCTCTTTCGTGCCACAAACCTCACAGCTTTCGGGCGTTTTACAAAGTCAGACGCTACTGACAAGTTTTTACTCGCTGCAATTGCTATTCAAAACTAAATTTTAACTGATCTTGAATTAAAGGGCGCTGTTAAGACAAAATATTCCCCGTTGTAACTGAGGATAACGTACAAAGGGGTAAAACGACAGCAAGATGACGGCGATGACAAATATAACGGGAAATGAAACACAGACGGAAACGTTTGAAGGATCGGAATGCTCCTTGGTTTGGGTAGGTGAGTTTAAACAACAGTCCGTTTC